AACCATTCTCAATTTTCTTTTGGGAATATGCAAGAAAAGGGAGTAAACTATCCATACCCCTAGGCCCAGTGATTCCACTACTGGATGTAGACCTTGAGAAATCAAAAGATAGAAACAAAGGTGAAGTATAGACCAGACTACTTGCAGCTGCACCCTATTGTAGTGGAGAACTTGAATAAAAATGGGTGCCAATAGATTGGGGAGACGGATGAAAAATGATGGTTTATTAGTGTGATGAAACAGTGAAGTATTGTTCAATAAGGAATGACAGATATGAAGAATTGAGAACAACATTGGAACATCTAAATGAACTAATACAGAGCCAAGGAAGTAGAATCAAGAGAACTATATACACTGTGACTAAAACAATGTAAATGAAAAGATTACTTGTAAAGAAGTTGAATTCTGAGTAAATTGAATTCTGAGTAAGTGAAAACATGATGGACTGTATCTCTCCATTCATACTATAGACATAGGCAGCTGCTGTACAGAATGTTAATGTAGAATATTATATACACTGCCAAGTATGAGCACTATATTGGATGTTCTGTTTTAAGTACTTTGTCACAAGAAGAGTGTTTAAGCAGGGAGGGAGGGAGTGAATTGAAATAATGTAAGGACAAAAGGCATCAATGGAATTTTTTAAGAGGACTGAATATACTGACTTATTTTCCCATAAATACAGAATTTATATAAGAGCAATTTACCCACGTATCAAAGGTGTCCTTGATGATAGTATTAGAAGAGAAAGATTTATACAACGTTCTGTGGTAAACCACATTTACCATCACACAATTGACTGATGGAAGCAAAGAGTACAAGATCCCTATTGTGCTTATTGTTTAACTATAAAATATTTGATTTGATAGAGTGAAACACTGCCTTAGGTGTCACCCACATACAGTCAATCCTCAACATTCAAGCATTTAACATTATGATTTTATTCATAGCACACATTCGTGGCTATGCATGCAATAGAGAAAAAAAATGAGAGGTGCAATGTGGCAAGTTTATATCCACAAAAAGGAGGAAAGTATTTGTAAAAGTGCTTGTGAATTCACTCCATAAAGTACTAAAGTAACCTTTCAGGTGCATAAGGGAATTGAAAAAATGGAAAAGTGATTAAGTTTGTGGGTAAATGAGATGGTAGTCGTCCCAGTGAGCATTCTGACTTCCCTGTGCCTATGTCTCCAGACTTCTAAGTGGAACTACCTCTGGTGCTCTGACCTGGGGCCAGGGACTCACCCTGGAGGCAAGTGCTTTTCATCTGGGAACAAACAGTGCAACCACAGAGTCCAAAGGGAGATTAGAGATGACAAGTTGCCCGCTTCCATTTTTTACGTTGGAGTTCTTCTGACATCATGGTCCCTGCACCTCCCAGTATTGCCCAGTGTTGCCTTTCCACTCCCTTACATTGTTTCATGTTATCCCTGTGACAGTTGAGGATTGACTGTATATATAAAGCTATATGTGATTCCTTGGAAGATAAAACAGTAAGAACTTCATTCTTCCCCCTGGTTATTAATATTAAGCATTACTATTGTGGAGAGAATTGAGCATGAAGTCCACGTTGAAGAGATATTTCCTATAGTATTTGTGGATGACATTGTGTTGTTGGCATCGAGCCCTCAAACATTGCAGAACATTCTAATTGCAATCACTAAAAAGAGTTTGGGCTAACTATCTATTTAGGAAAATCCAAGTGGATGAAGTATATCTGTTGCCCAGATTATGTTACACACTTCGATGGATAGCCTGTAAAACTTAATCAGTCAGTTAATGTGTCTTAGACACTACAAGTAGACAAAGAGTTGGGTCCAGAATAGAAAAATAGGGGAGCAGACTGGATTGCTTTTGGGAAATATTAAAGTTCTTATAATGGTTTCAAAGAAACAAAGCCCCATGTTTATATACATTATATATATATATATATATATAATTTTTTTCCACGTGAAAATTTTTATATTTTATTTTTTAATTACATGTAAAAACAATTTTTAACTTTCTTTTTAAAAAAAAATTTCGAGTTCCAATTTTTCTCCTTCCTTTCCTCCTCTCTTCCCCTCCTTGAGAAGGCAAACAATTTGATATAGATTGTACACATGCGGTTATACAAAACATATTTCCATATTAGACGTGTTGAGAAAGAAAAAACAACCCCCCACCAAAATAACAAAAATAAAGTTTAAAAAAAAGTATGCTTCAATTTGCATTCAGATTCCATCAGTTTTTTCTCTGAAGGTGGATAACATTTTTTAATCATAAGTTCTTCAGAATTGTCTTGGATCATTGTATTGGTTAGAATAGCAGAGTCATTCATAGTTGGTCATCGTACAGTATTGCTGTTACTATGTACAATGCTCTCCTGATTATGTTCACTTCACTTCGTATTAGTCCATATAAGTTTTCCCAAGTTTTTCCGAAAGAGTCCTGCTTGTTGTTTCTTATAGCAGAGTAGTACAACTTGTTTAGCCATTCCCCAATTGATAGACATTCCTTCAATTTCTGATTCTTTGCCACCACAAAGAGAGCTGCTATAAATACTGTTGTACATATAGGTCCTCCCCCCCCCCCCTTTTTTTAAATCTCTTTGTGATACAGACCTAGTAGTGGTATTGCTGGATCAAAGGGTATACAGTTTGTAAGCCCTTTAGGCTTAGTTCCAAATTGTTCACCAGAAGGAAAATTCCATATTTTTAATACCAATTTTCTTTCAGTAATGGAAAAGTGCAAGGTGGGTGTGAACAGACTGCAACACATTGCAGAAAGAGACATTAGAAAGAAGAAAAGCATGTCATCAAAAAATATATGATTGAAAAAGAGAATGGGGCTGATTGGCAACTTTGTGAAGGATAACTTATGGACAACCTATCAAGGAGACTCCAAGAAGGTTTCCCAGCACATTGGGTCAGCCTCCAGAGGCAGATTTAAGGGAAGACGTAGATAAAAATTGAGTAAAATGAATTGTGATCTCTGTCATCAGAGGTACTACCCAAATTGATGATATCACAGATACATTAGAGTATTGGAAGAGAAAGTAGAGAAAGGTAACCACAACACACTGAACTAGAAGCAGGAAGATTTGTTTCTCAGCCTTACGTCTAGATTGTCTTTTTGCTACTTATTCAACAACCTTCCTTTCTTTGAGGTTCACTCTCTCCATCTTTAACATCCAGTTCATTATCTTGTCACCAATCATCTACTACACACTAAGCCATTTTTCTTTGCCCAAGAAGCTCAGTTCCCTACTCATGGGTGTTTCTTTAATTTAAGCCCTTATCACCTCTCACCTGTACTGTTAAAATGATTTTGTAATTTATTTCCCTGCCCCGCTTCTGACCCCTCTCCAAACCATCCTCCACATAATTGCCAAAGTGGTATTATTAAAACATAGACCTGGTCATGTCATCTCTTAATAATTTTTTTTCCAGTAGTTTCCCCTATGCCTCTAGGTTAAAACATAAACTCTATTTGGTAATTAAAGACCCATAATCTAATTCTTTTCCAGTTATATTACTCATATTCGATTTTTTTTTGGTGAGGCAATTAGGATTAAGTGACTTACTCAGTCACACAGCTAGTGAGTGTTTTGTGTCTGAGTGCAGATTTGAACTCAGGTCCTCCTGACTGCAGGGCCGGTGCTCTATCCACTGTGCCATCTAGCTGCTCTCCATATTCTCTTTTAGTCGAACTGGCCTGTTGCTCATACATGATATTCTCTCTCATGCTTTCATGTGTTTGCACAAATGACTCTCTATATCTAGAATATACTCCATCCTCACGTCTGCCTCATGGAAACTTCAGTGTCTTTCATAGTTTAGGTCCATGCCTTTTTGTGTTTCTCTCGTTTTTACTCCTCCCTTCTTGTAATTACTTGGTATATACTTTGTATTTACTTTTATATCTATTGTATCACCCAAATAGAAAGCAAGTTCCTTTGTTCAGGGAATGTTATTGTTTCTATCATTTTGTGTTACTTGCACCTGCTTCAGGTGTTTTGAATGTTACAGATGCTTAACAAATGTTTTGTTGAATTGAATTGTTGATTAGTAAAATCTTCACATATTGCTGAAAATTCCTTGCTACTAATCTTGTGGAAAATCTTCCTGAAGTGTAACTAGAAGTCTCGCACAGATAGATTTTAGCTGTCAACAATGTGATCAAAATCAAGTATATTAAATAGTGGCTATTTGGAGTATGTGCTTTGTAAAAATGTCTAGTTCCTAGCTATAAAAGATAAGAACCGTACTTAGGAAACAGTGCTGATACTGGTGAGAAGATAAAATTGAACTTTTCCCCCTCTCATTAAAGTAAAACAATCTGTATAAAAATTATTGAATGATGTTCCCCACCCCCACTCTCACCCCCTGTGAATCCAAAGGACCAGTAATGGAGCTTGTAACTCACTTCTGAACAGAGAAGTGATATACTCAAGAGACAGAATAAGACATACATTTTTAGGCATATGGCCTTTAAGAAAATTTGCTTTTCTTGATCATGATTATTGTTTAAAAGGGTTCTCCTTTTCTTTCCTTTTTTTTAACTTTTTTTTTTTTTGCTAGGCAGTGGGGTTAAGTGACTTGCCCAGGGTCACACAGCTAGTAAGTGTCAATGTTTGATCTGAGGTCAGATTTGAACTCAGTTCCTCCTGACTTCAGGGCTGGTGCCCTATCCACTGCGCCACCTAGCTGTCCCTCTTTCCTTTCCATTTTTAAATAGTGGAGGGAGGTGGAAAGGAGAGAAAAATTATATGTCGCATTTAAAAATATAAGTATAATTGGAATATATTGAACTTGTTCAGCCATTCCCCAATTTATGGGCATCCTCTCAATTTCTAATTCTTTGCTGCCACAAAAAGAACTGCTGTAAATATTTTTGTACGTGTGGGTCCTTTTCCCATTTGTGTGATCTCTTTGGAATAATAAATGTATTACTTTTAAGTAAAAGCAAAGTTTTAAAAAATAATACTCCTAATAATTATTTAATATTTGTGTTCACAGGTAGTTGCTGAACATCCAGATGCTTCATCTGAAGAGATTGAAGAATTGCTTGAGTCACAGTGGAATATTCTAAATGAAAAGCAGAAAGCTCGTTATAACACAAAATTTGCCATAGTGACCTCTCCCAAATCTGAAGAAGACTCTGGTAAACATAAAACTGTGCTAGTGTACTCTAATTAAAATTGATATGCATAGTGATGTCAAACTTTTGAGATCTGTAGGGAAAGCAGTGGTTCACTGTTTTCCAATTTTAATTTTTGATATTTGTGCCAGTAGCAAAAAATTGCAAGTGATTACAATAAAAAAGCACTCTCTGAAGTCTACATTTCTTGCTTATTGTTATGACAAGCTGTTACATGTACATACACCTTCTGATATTTTGAAATTACAGGTTTCTCATTATTCTTTTGCCTATAAGCAGCTGCACTGTAGTTTTTATTATCTACAGGGATGTGTGAGAAAGATTTGGAGAGGGAAGAGTTGAGATAATTAAGATGTTCTCTATGAGTGCAAATTCAGGGATCATTTGGTCTAAGAAAGGTTTATAAACAGTAGTAATACCCCTCTTTTGCAAGTAACTGGAGCTGTAATCCCAAGGAACATATTCCAAAACCGTTAAAAAATAACTTGTTTTACTGCTCCTTTATATATGACAGTATTAGCAATTATAAGATGATTCCTATAAGAAGAAAAAATTAATATTTATTGCTCTTTTGAGTAAGTTACTTGAGGAAAAAGTTATAAATAGCATATTAAGCTGGCCTGATCTTTAAAATCAAGTGATCTTTGACCCATTAGTTCTTTATAGCACTCTTAAGAAAGATTTTTTTTCAGTATTTGAAAAATTACTATGTGATACTTTGCTTTGGACAATGACAAGAATGAGTGAGTGTCTTGTCAGAGGTTTTTTTGTTGTTGTTGTTGTTTTTGTTTTCTGGGCAGTTGGGGTTAAGTGACTTGCCCAGGGTCACACAGCTAGTTAGTGACAAGGGTTTGGTCTGAGGCCAAATTTGAACTCAGGTCTTCCTGACTTCAGGGCTGGTGCTCTATCCGTTGCGCCACCGAGCTGCCCCCAGAGTTTTTTTAAATGTATAAGATGGTCAGATTTCTGATGATATGTGTGTGCAAAAATATTTTGTGGGGAAACTGTCAACATTTTAAAAATGAATGTCAAATATTTGGATATCAGTTTAAAAAACAAAAAAATTCTGTATCTCTCAAGGTTCGTCACTGAAGAATATTGGAGAGACCAAACGTAAAGTGTTTCAAGATTCACCTAAAAGGAGATCAAGATCCAGAAGTAATTGAAATTTTTATTGTGTACAATTAGCTCATCATTTTAAGTAGTGATTGAGTATATCTTTTATGTAATCATCCACGTACCATAACATCTTTATTTTTTTCTCAGATGCTCTTGTTTTGTTTTTAGAATTTTAATAGATCCAAGATTAAATTTCTATATACTGTAGAATTGAAATTGTTACTTTGGTCAATGTCTTTTGCAAGTAATGTGATTAGAATAACAAGGGGGCTTTAATAGTCAATAAATGGAGATAATTCACTCTTAGACTTCTTCGACCTAAGTTCAGAAAAGTGTCATGATTTAAAAGTGTGGCATGTTTGACTAAAACTAATAGAAGAAAAGATGATTCCCCCTCCCCCCAATTATCTTAACCCTGAAGAGTAAGTTGTAAATTTGAAATAACTAGCTTGATGATAACCAAAGATAAAAGTAATCCTTGCTTTTATCTTTCCTTTTTCAAAGAACATTTATCACAAATTTGCTGTTAAAATTTTTTTGTGCTTAGAAAGCTAATAGAATTTAAGTATTTGTGGGTAGTACTCTTCTGCAAGTGGTGTTTAGTCAAGGTATTTGTTTTCAGATATCTTTTAATCTTAATCTTAAAATTACTCTGGTGCTAATAAAGATGTGGAATGTTCATGGTATCTTACCTCGAGTATTAGTTTTTTAAAAGTATTCAGAGAATCTCTCTGAGCCACCTCTCTAACCTTTAAAAGCATTACAGTTACAGACATTTGAAAGAAAATGAATTACATAGTTTACTACCATCTAGAGCAAAGACTTTGTTGCTGGCAATTAATAATGGTTTAGTGATTGTTCTGAGGTAAACAGGTGCCTGATAGGCTGAGTGGTGGGCCTCTGTTTTAACTTAACTTTGTCAGCAAAAAAAAGTACATGAACAGAATTACTCTTAACAAGTGAGCAAGCTGGTATCTATATATTGTTTTGTGTGTTAGAGAATGTAAGTCAAACACAAGTTTGGCCATTTTTTTGTGTATTGTCTGTCATCTAGTCTATGGGTTTTCTGGAAGCAGTATATAGTCATTTAACCAGGCATACTTTACCTTTTAGCTAATGTGCCCATACTTGATGTGTGGACAGACTCTGCCTTTGTTGATCCATTTGCTATTGTACCCATAGAACATGCACTTAGTTTGGGGTCAATGCACAATAGCTATTACTGTCTTTTAGTTTGATAGGCAGATAGACCTATACACCTGGATCTGGAGAACATGTTTCTGTTCCTCTGGGATCTAATTCTATAGCTGTAGGCACCAGCTGTCTACAAAGAATTGGTGCATGGGCAGAGTCCCAACCTAGTGGTGATTTTGAATAAGCTTAGATTAGCACTCAGCTAATGCTTTTTTTCATGTTAGTGGATTTCTGTCATTGGAATCAGTGGGGGTAAGGTGTCTCCATATCTAAGTAGACCTCTCTCCCTATTTCTAAAAAATCTAAAGATTGGCTCGTGAAAGTATGAATTTTTTAAAAATTTCTTATCCGTTGTGTAACTTTCTGCTTCCATGAGGCAGTTGTGTAGATGAAAACATTTGCTCTATATTTAGGGCATATATAAATTTCCACATCAGGATAGTCCAATTGTTTGTCTAGTTGAATGTCTAATTCCTTTATGTGACTCTTAAATTGATGTCTTCAGTACATCGTGGGAGGACATAATTACACTTTAGACTAGAGGGAATGTTAGGAAGTCCTTAATCTACAAAAAAAGGGGGGAGGGGGAAACACTTGTTACTTTAAGTAGATAGTTGAAATGCAAAGAGAATTGTGAAGAATTTACATACATATATGTATATATGTGTGTGTGTCCATATATGTGTGTGTGTGTGTGTGTGTATATATATATATAAAGAGAAATACAGTCTTTACTTATTAAGGAACAAAGGATTTGTTTGGTTTTATTGGATCACATTAAAATTAGTATTGTATCAGAGGTTAAATACTATTATAACAAAAATGATTACTAAATAAATCTTCAGATAAAGAAAACACTTTTAAGCTCCAATAAATAACATAATGTGATCTTTGATATCTTACCAGAAAGTTCCTTGAAATTTTTGGTAAATGAATTTGACCAGTAACAGGTAGGGCCTAGAAATACTATTAGAATTAAAGAAACTTTTAAAAGCATCAAAGAACATTTAAGTTTTTAAAATTTGCTACCCTAGATAGGTTCACAATACTTTTAATTGGGCTTTAAGAGTATTTTTTCATGTAAGTTTCCCCATCCCCCATTCCAAGGTAACTTACATGGAAAAAAAAGAAACCATGCAAAGAGGACACAGCACCCTACAGAAGATTTTGAAGTTCAGGAACCAGCTAGGAAAAGACTCAGGATGGATAAACACAATAATCGGAAGGTAATTATATTACTGGATTCTTTGAGTTGTTTATAAAAATACCAGTCACATGACTATGGTTAAATTTGTTAGTGTTTCCATTTTTAGGACTTAATTCTGTGAAATTGGAATTTGTCAACATAATAAGCTAGTCAGAAGATATTTATTTAAATATTTAGCTTTGGGAAATAAATCTGATTAACCAAATGAAGATTTCTCTAGGAGTATATTAAATTCTCCTAAGTGGGATCTGAGAATCAGTCATTATTAATACTTTATAATTTTATAATACGTTGCTTTTGCTCTATACAAGGCAGCCCTTCACAGTTGGTTGAGATGGTTTTCCATTAAATGTAGAATAGAATTACATACAAGAAAACTAATGCTTTTTTGAAGCCTGAGTTCATTAAGACGAGGTAGAAAGGCAAATAGAGAGCCTGACTTTGAAGTCAGGAAAACCTGCTTTTAACAAATATTGGCTCTGTGATATTGAACTAGTCCCTTAACTTTCCAGTGCCCCAGGCAACTTTGTAATACTAGAGGTTGCGGGAAAATTGAAGTTCAGCATTGGTAGAAGTACCTTACTCATGGGTTTGAATCTCCTTCCTCAAAAATTAAGTTTCTTATTCTTTAATAGGTTTTCATAGATTTTTGAGAGGCAGTATAGTACAACAAATTTGGAGTTAGATCTTAGTTAAATCCCTAACTCTGTCATTTTGTGTCATTTTAAACAAATTATTTAACTTCTGTAGACCTTAATCTAGTTTTCCAATGCTATTATCTGTGACCTCCAATAGCATGGCAAATTGATAGTAAAATATACATTATCTCTAAGCACTTTGTACTGGTAAACACTTTCCCTCACTGTACAACACCTCAGAGGAAAAACAAAGAATTGCCTTCATTTATTCCAAGGATGAATTATCCATTAAAATAGGTGGATTATTTTTTGATAAACCTAGGATTTTACATATTTTATGTATATAGCAAATGTATATTAACCTCTTTAAGTCTTTGTTTCATGATATTCCTCAATTCTGTTTATTTTCCATGTATGTATATATGTTTATGTATAAATTGTTTTAATATGAAAATATTTTAAAAGAATAACTTTATTTCACATAAACATATGGGGTATAGCATTATACCTTAACTTATACTGAAATATATTTGGCTTTGGCTCTTAACAGAAGAGTTGACTATGTATTACTTTGCATGAAGTTCTGTTCCTTCCTGCAGATCTGAAGTAATTAGCTAGCTTTTTATTTGATTTTTCTTTATTTATTAGCAGAATATATATACCTATTCTGAAAAGTCCAAAGTTAAAACTAATCTTAACACAAGGAACAAGAAATCTTCCTTTTTTATTGCATAGCTTATTCTTATATTTTAGCCAATGTCTGTGCCTTTCTGGATGCTTTTGAGTTATTGATAAACTAGATGGTTAGAATGAACACCTCTTGGAAGCACATTAGCACTACTTGTTAGTGATAAAACTTTAGATGTTACTGAACACATACTTGTAGTCCTTTTCAATATTCTACCTCAAAATGAGACTTTCTAAATCTGTGTGTGTAAAGCATTCCTAAGAAATGTGTTATATTAAAATATTTCATTTAAAAATCAACATTTATGTAAAATATCAAGACAGTATTTCTCTTGTGGCATAATTCCTATTTTAAAATTTCAGAACATTTATATAAACTCATCTGAGAAGTTAAACATAGCCTCTCTTACTGTAGTTCAGTTATCAAGAATTTATCAGATGAAAATTGCTATTTTTAAGATAGTGCTTCAAACAATCTGAAGTGTAGTTGTACTTAACAGATTTGGAAAGATATATAAAAAAATGTTTGTGCTCCTCAGTCCACAGTGCTATTTGGCAAATGACGTAAACTACAAGTTAATCTGGAGCTTGATTTCAGTGAAAATGTTGGCACTAACTTGACAATTACCAGTGCAAAACAAGAGCTGTCTTAAGGCAGAATTCAAATTAGACAGCTCAGATTGTATAGAGAAATACTTTTCCAATTTGTTCCTTTCTGAATTTTTATATTGATATCTTAAATATTAACACAAATAGTTCATAGGAAGTTTATGTAAATCCAATAAATTCAGGTAACAAGCCACTATTGAAATTAAAATCCTTATTTTTAAGATTTAAATGTTGAGACTTTAATCCCTTTATTCCTTGTCAGATATTAAGACTTGTGTATACATGAAGGTATTGGTTGATAAATTAAGTTTTATTTACTTTGGGGGTATTAAATTGTCCCTTCTGGATTGTTTAAATCAAACTTAATTTTGTGGAAAAACCATAAGCAACGTTTTTGCACAGAACATGTTTGGAATTTCAGACAAAGAAATTTGTATTTTTCAGTAACTCTCCAGAAATAATTTCTACTTATATTCACTCTCAGTGGGAGTTTTTATTTTTATTTTATTTTTTCTTTTTGTAACAGAGGGAGACAAGCAATGACAAAACAGCCAAAACAAACTCTTCTAAGGTCACAGAAACCTCTTCCTCCCTAAAGAACCAGTCAGGTAATATGGTCAGAATGGTTTACATTCTAACATTTAAATAAACCATTTATATTTAATCAGTTTATTTTAAATACTCAGCTAAATTTTGGTGAAGCAGTTTCTAAAACCAATTCTTATTTTAGGGCCAATAATGGACTTTTTTGTTGTTAAATTATAGGGGCATGTTAGACTTTGAAAACAGCTACTTTTGTTTTTTCTCTTTTGAGGATTCCAATTGCTGCCTAAATATCTTAAGTATTTTCCAGTGACTTAATTTAATACTTGTTTAATGATTATGAACTTAGCAGATAAAAAGAAGAAATGTAGTTAATATTCAGGTATTTATGAAGTTGTTTAAATATATTCTATAGAGAAGCTGTCCAAGATGGAAAAAGTTCTTGGACAAATGTAATCACATTATTAGTCTAAAGTTCCTTGATGCTTTTAGTATGAAGACTTGCTCTTGGCAGATTTGTGTAACTTGTCAAAGGTTATCAATACAGCATGAAAAGTAGTGTTGTTTCTCAAAGGGAGCTTATTGAAGATTCTAGGATTGCTAAATTTCAGTATTAAAATGCTGAACAAAAGACAAACTCCATCTCCAATCCACCTCCCATCTCCAACATTTTATTTAAATATTTTTTAAATTAAAGTAAGACTAAGAGGGCAAACAAATTTATTGGAGATTGTATAATATTGGAATGTATTTAAGCAAAGCACTGCATAGAAATCCCTTAACTTTAGATGGTGAAAGACTTAAAAAACAGGGGGGCAGTCTATCTAATGGTATTTTTATTGAATCTTGTCCTTACTGTACTAAATTAACTTTAAAAACAAAATATGCTGAGTACTACACAGGAACTGAGAAGACTCATCTTTAGAATATCTTCAATTGTTAAGAAAGGGACTATTTTAAAGCAGAAACAGGATAGTCATCTTTGAATGTTCCTAACTTCACCTTGTAAACCGAAATTATTTTACAGCAACGAAAAATCTGTCTGATGCATGTAAACCACTGAAGAAGCGAAATCGGGCTTCAGCAGCAGAATCTTCAGCTCTTGCGTTTAGCAAAAGTTCATCTCCTTCAACTTCCTTAACTGAGAATGAGGTAAAAAAAAAAGTGGCATTTACATGAAAGCCATTTAGTTATCAAAAGTCTGTGATTTAAAAATCCATTTTTAAGGAAAAAACAATCAGACTCAGTTTTAAATTTAATGCTCCCTTTAACTCTGTATATGAGTTAAAGCTTTTTGTCTCTGTAGCTGTGTTGAATTACATGCATTGTGACAATACATTCACTGTAGTGAAGATCGAGTTGGGTACTTCAAGTATATATGCGTATCTATATATCAATGCAATTTAATTGTACTAAAAATATACATTTTAGAGATGTAATTTTCAGAAACAAAGTAAAATGTTAGTGGTGTGCATTTTCTCCTAAAACTTTATGTTTTTTATTCATCTTCATGTCATAATTTTTTATATGGAAGCAAGTCTGCTTTTTGTTTTATGTGACATAGAATGGTCTCTTGGTCTTGAGCACAAGCTCTGTACTCTCATAATAGTGATATATGTGGGTGTGTTTGTGTGTGTGTACATCCACACATATAGATAGATATAGATAAAATCAGGTTCTTTACATTTTGTTTTTTATTATTCCTATTTTCTATGCACAAATAGCAAATAATGTATCTTTTTCATACCATAATATGACAATTTTAAAGTTCCATATATTTAAATTTTAGTTTATTGTGAATATAACTAGATTATAATTCCTTGAACTATTAAAATATTTGGCAGAAGATAATAATGAGCACATGAGATTGAAATAGATACGTGTTTTCTCAGATAAGATATAGACAAAAAGCTTAAAGTCTTTGTTCTTGCCAGGAAAAAAACCGCACAAAATTCAGGAATGGCAGATGTTTCTTGCTTGAGAAAGAGAAAGGTTGAGTCAGTAGTTTGCTAAGTGATCTCTTATCTCTGTCTCTTTTTTTTTTCTCCAAATGTCTTCCATTTTTCACTGTAGTCCCAATTCTTTCATTGAGAATACCCTTCCATTTTTTTTTCTATGTGAAAAGCATTATGTTATAATATTTACTATTGGTTTTCTCATTAGCTCTAAATAGTTAACTAATTGTTAACTCAAAGTGTATTCTATGGGGGAGTGAGGGAAGGTAAAGAAAAAGAAACATTTCCATGTTTTCATAGTCCAACAATAAATGTTTAAATATAGACAGGTCTCATTGGGTGGTAGGGTGGGGTGGGGGGTGGTTAGATAGTGTGATGGCTATTGTTGAATGGGATATTTCAGTGTTTAATATAAATTAAAAGGAATTCTTGGAAATGAGAAATAAGAAACCTAGTTAAGTTCTCCCATATAGTGTATATAGTATTGACATTTGTGATGTTAGTAAAGAAAACATACTGGTTTTTCTGCTGTAGTTTCTAATGGAATTATGAAAATATAATTGAATTTAAAACTTAAACATTTAATGCCAAGGCCCTGTGCTAGGTACTGGTGATACAAAGACAAAAAATAAAAGTTTCTGCCCTCTAGGAGCTTATATTGTACTTCTTCTAAATATAGAAGATTCAGAAGCCAAGTCTAAGAGTATACTCTAAACATAGGATTTTAAAAGTACTTAACTAAAGATATAAATTTAAGTACTCTAAGAGAATTATGGTAGAAATTTTCCTCTGTATGGTGTCGAGTCCAGAAAACAATGTTAAAATGTAATCTTTCCTAGTTGCATTATGTTACTTAGTCTTTTTCCATATTTTTTTTTAGTTAGAGTTTAGACTTTAGACAAAGGGAATTACTGGGAAAAGTACTTCCAGTTTGCAACAGAATATTTAATAGTTGTACTTACTGTCACCACACTCCCTTCCTGTCCCTATCATTAGTTAATCAAGGGAAAGGGAAGCCGCTTTAATTAGACATAATTTACTTAATTAAACTGCATCTAATTTTTGGTCACTTTATACATTTGAATCTACTGTTCATGTCTTCCAGTAAAAACTGAGAGTTTGAAACTATAGAATAATCATCCTGGCCATTTATTCTTAAGAATGCTACAGACAAGATACATATATAATAGAAAGGTCAGGTCTTTTAATATACTATAAATACACTAATTTTTGGAGTACCACTACATCAGCATATGCTTCTAGGTAATACCTTGCTAATATTTTGAGATGTTTTTCACAGTAATCTTATTTTCCTGGATTAAATATTATGGAATTTTCTTTTAACTCATAAAGAACTCATATTTAGGAATAGAAAACAAACCACCAGATAGTCTTGATATTAAACTCCTAGTAGAAAAAATAGAAAAATAATTTACAGATAACTTTGAGGCTTATCCAAGTATCTTTGGGTGTATAGTCATCCTGTTCACTTGGCCTTTATATTGTCACTTTTGTGTGGGTTTTGGAAATTCATCATTAAAATACTTTTCTACTGAATTACATTGCTGTAATTAAATACTGTTTAAAACTTGAATGGAATAGAAGTCTTGTATACTATGTTTAATAATCTAGTATTGTCATAAAAGTATGATATTTGTGAAAAGCGTTAATTGTTGTGTGCTTAATATTCTGGCTTATGAGGCAGAAAGTAGTCTGCACCCGTCACCTTGAAAAAAAAAATGGGAGAAAAAGTAAGTGGGCCCACTTCTAGTCTCAAATGCATCCCTCTAAATAATGTTTTAGTTCAAAGAGGTTCCATATGTAGTTGTAGATTTTCTTTGAAACATTTCTTCCTTGTGTTTAAGGATGTCTGTGATATTGGCTATGTATTTTCATGTTCTATGGCTGAAAACAATGAGAAATAATAATGATAATAACTAACACTTATATAGTGCTTATTATTTGCTAAGGCACTATGGTAAGCACAGCTTAACTTTATTATCTCGTTTTATCCTCACAACAACCCTGGCAAGTAGGTGCTATTATTATCCCTATTTTACAGATGGGGAGACTGAGGTAAACAGAGTGACTTGCCCAGAGTCACACAACTAGTAAGTGTCTGAGGCTAAATTTGAACTCTCAGGTCTTCTTGACTCCAGGCCTAGTGCTCTATCCACTGAGCCATCTAGCTACCACAGTAGGAAATTTTGTTGAAGCAAATATTTGAAGATGTCACCAGGAATATATACTTTTTTACTTTTTAACATTAACAAAGAAAATAACAAGTGGTGAATATGCAAGCTCCATGTTTGCCTGGTTTTTATTTTTGCACAAATTACCACTTTAACAAAAAGAATGGTAAATTTCCACATCTGCATGACAAAGACCTATGAAGGAATGAATGTTATTTAAGTGTTTTCATAACATTAATACTTTTTCCCTTAGAGAAAATTCTTATTTTTTTCACCTTCACGGGTAACAGCTTTTATTGGAACCAACATCAGTCAAGTTGGACTTGAGCTCTGCTGCAATGTACTGCACATAAAATGATGTAATATTCCAAGATGTCTGCTGCAAGTTGTACTATCATCGTATACACTAAAAATGACATTTCTATCACAATCATTTTATGGAAGATGTATGATACTCTGTTTTTACTGGTATTAATAAACACACACAATGAAGAAAACAGATACACAAATTTTAACACCAAGGTAAGATGCCTAATCAAGGTCATTTAATCAACCACATTCATCTCATAATAAAAATGCATTCATTCCAATGATCAGCATAACATTCAAACTGATTGAAGTGGTACCATTAGGTTGTGAAACTGTCTAAATTGTAAATGTGGATGCAATTCCACATTAAAGACAGTTACTTTTATTAGAGGTAACTTCCCCTAGTTCTTAGAGATTTTTGTATTGGAAAAATATCCACATGTATATTCTGTTTTTCACCCCCTCTCTCCAACAGCATATATCAAAATGAGTAATTTTATTCAAGTGGTCAGTCTTTATACCAGTTTAACCAGTGAGATATAGTCAGTACTATAGACGTAAACTAGTGCTTCACATTTAATATGCAGGAAATACTTTGTTCCTAACCTTTTTACTGAACAATTTCAATAAAACACTAAATGCAGTATGTTTTGAGTTAGTCAAATGTTATAGAACATTTATTTTACCTTAGCCTGTTGATTTCATTTATAAAATTAGCCAGAAGATGCCATAATTACATTAGCTACATTGCCTGATACATTAATTGCTTATTTAAAATGATGCTATATTCCAATGTTTTAAATGTTGATCATTTGCTGTGATATTTCAGCATGTTTGCATGATGAGAAAAATTGCTTAGACCTTTCAACTGAGTATCATAAGATAAGACATGGTAACATGTTACATGCTGTTATTGTGCTTATATTATAAACCATAGTTTTATCAGAACAATATTAACTTTCCTAAAAACCTTTAACTGGTACATATGGAACATGTAGAATATGTTTTCCAAACCACTTTCCCTTTTTATTAAAAAATTTTAAAAAATCACTTTGGCATATAAATTACTCTATTTGAATCAGTTATGCTTGAGGATAAAAGGAAAACAAAATCTATTGAATAATGACAGTTTTTATTCATCTGTAATAAAACAAGTTTATGAGAAGTTGTAATGTTGAGCTAAATTAAAATCAATAGCATAAACATATCACACAAAAAATCTAAGGCATAACACCCTGACCTCCCACTGACATTCTAAAAAGCTCAGGAATAAATTCACAGCTCTGAGATAAATAACAAGAATCACTAATATGAGAAAGTTCCTTTTAATGTTGAAGACCATAGTAATAAAAGGTATCAGGAGGGAAACTAAGGATGTCATTTGAAATGACAATTATGAATTATATTCATAGAGGATGTACTAAGTAATGGTAGGGTCTTTCACCATCTATTTACTGCCTTCCACATGCAGAGTACTCGTAGCAATGAAGGCTATTAAAAAAAAAAACCAAAACAATGAAACTATAGTCCAGTTGAAACTATAGAACATGAAGAATTAACTGTACCAAACCTCATGAAGTGAAAGTTTCATGAACAGACTACATAACTATACATGGTGGGAGGGGGAACATCTGTGAGCAAAGTCATGAATAGTACAGTTTGGGAAATAACCAAGTTTTTGAAGAAGGTGAGTTTG